CATCATCTGAGATCACTACATATGATAAGAATTCAACTTAAAATATATCAAGTCAGAAGATCTGCTGAAGTTATTAAGCTTTAATAATGACTGAAAAAATGATGCTGTAATCAGCTGACTAAGTCAGATATAATTATATTATCAGATTAAACATAAACTTATAAACAGACAGTTAATGAAATTTTAATAAGTTTTAAGATCTGCTATATTTCTATGTGAAAAAGTGAAGTCATTATAAATAACTAATGAAAAGATGAATCTCACAGACTTAGAGTAATATTCATTCTCATGAACATGAAATAAGTTTTTTAAATGAATCTTATATAACTTTGAGTAAGTGATTATATAAGATAAGTATTATAAATACTTCACTGAGTATAGATAAGTGAGTAATCTTATATTATACTTCATACACTTCATTTTATACTATCTTATATTAAATGAAGAGCTTTTAATATCTTTCTATTTATAGATCTTTATTCATAATCTTATATCTGAGTTAAGAGTAGAATGAAAATGCTTAATCTCATAATCAGATACAGTGAAAGAAGTATATAATATTCTCATTATATAAGAGCAAGTGAGTCAATCACAATAGAAAATACTGTAATCAAGTATATCTCAGCAGAGAATAAGTAATCAGACTTCTATAACATAAGTTACATATCTGAACATAATAAATCTAGATTTAAATGCTATTACTAAAGTACTGAATTCTCTGAAAAAGAGATTCTCTAAGTGAAAATCTTGATATTGTGAGCATTGAGCTTGTTTCAACTGTAAATATTAAAATTATAATACAAAGAATTGCACACAGTATACACAGTCAAGAGAAGTAAAAAAGTTAAAAAACTAGCAGAATCAGTGAGCTTAGAGACACTTGCTGATATTCTATAAAAAGTCTTTAAAGTGAAAGAGATACTTATATTAGATAACTCTCTGAATTCTGTGACTATCAAGAGAAAGCAGGCTCTCAAATAAAGTGTGAGTGAGAATGAAGAACCAGATACTCATCTCAAGATCTTAAGACCTGAAATGTTAATATATAGAGAGCACTTAAATAAGAATTGAGAGATGACTGTAAAAGTGTTAGCAGATACAGAAGCTTCTATATAATATATTAATAATTATATAATCTGAAGACTGAAAGGGATCTGCTGAGTGAATAATCTTCAATATATAAGATTGTCTGATAACTGATATGTAGTATTATCTATAAGAGTAAGAGTTCTCTTACACTTCAGAGAATGATCTTGCTATATTTAAGTATGAGAGCTGCAGAATATGAAATATAATCTTATTCTCAGACTTAATTAATTTCAAAGATTTAATCTGCAGATTCAATGATGTACATGTTATATATAGTTAACTGATAAGAAGAAAACAGTTCATATAATTCTATTAACTAATATAAGAAGGACATTTTATGTCTCTGATATAAAAAAATTAAATCTGCTTATACATTAATAAGCAAAGAGAATAATTTACAAGACCTTGTTCAAAAGTATTCTGTATATCATACAGAATCTGAAAGTGAAGAAAATCAAGATAAAGAATATGCAGAAGAATAAGTATATAAAGAAGCTTCTGAATAAGTATGAAAAGATCTTCTGAATAGATCTTTCATCAGAATTGCTACTGAAATAAGAATTTGTACATGAGATTAACACAGAGAATGCAAAATCAGTCAATTAAAATACATACTCTCTATCACAAATGCATCTTAAAGAACAGAAGTGTCAGATCACAGACCTTGTAGAATGTGATCTTATATAACTCTTATCAAGTGTGTGAGACTTTTCAGTTCTATTCATGAAAAAGACAGATGAAGAGTGACAGATGTGTATTAATTATCAAGCACTTAATAAGCTTATAATCAAGAACAGATACTCATTATCATAGATTTAACAACAGTTGAATACAGTTAGAAATATCTGATATCTATTAAAGATTAATCTTCTCTCAGAATATTGACAGATCTGTGTAGATTAACTATCAGTACTGTGAACTGTGTTTAATATGCAATGAGAAAAGTTTAAATTTCTGATAATATTATTCAGTCTGACAAATGTATCTATTATCTTTTAAATGATGATGAATATAATTCTTTATAAATAAAATGAAATCTTATATCTTATATATCTGAATAACATTCTAGTCTTCTCAAACTTATATAATGAATATCTGAAGCATCTTAATAAAATGCTTACAACTCTGACAGAGTATAAGCTCTATATTAAATTAACAAAGTATGTGTTTAAAATAGAAGAGTTGAAGTTCATAGAACATGTAGTAAGTGATGACTGTATATATCTTATTCTGAAGAAATTGAATGTTATAGTGAATTGACTGTGACTGAGAAATATATATTATATGTAACAGTTTCTTGAGTTAGTCTTATATTACTACAGATTTATCAAGAATTTCACATGAATATCTGTATCACTCTCAGATCTCTTAAGAGAAATAAATATCAATCTATGAAAGAAGAAGTTTCATTTAATCATCTGAAATATTATATGTGAAGAGGCCTTTCTCACACTGAGAGAATATATAATAATATTCTCAGTG